ATACAATTTGTAATGTTCTGTTTCAAGTATTTCTAGAATCTCTTCGTTATGGTCCACTCTCCTTCCTTATGTCAAAGCATATGTTTTTTCTAAATTTACAGACACGAGCTCACAGAACTCAAAGCATATGTTATTTGCCTTATTTTTTATGCTACTATTTTAATTTAATTGTTCTATATTAGCATAAGTAATTATTTTGTTCATAGTGTTTAATTTTATATTTTTTAGAATGTATTCAAGTATTGCAAGTAGTGGAGATGATGAATTTCTAAGGAAGCCATTATGGAAATATGTTACCAAAGTAGGCACCACAACGGAAGCAGGAAGGAATCTATCTTGGAAATGCAATTTTTGTGAAAAGGATTTTAAAAGTTCGTATACTAGAATAAGGGCTCATTTGCTTAAAATAGCAGGGAAAGGAATTGCAAGATGTTTAGTTGTGGAGACAAAAGACTTGCTAGAGATGGAGAAATCAGAACAAGAAACTAGTGAGAGATTGAAGAGTAATGCACCTAAAAACGTGCCTTTACCCTCTAGTTTTTCCGTAGAATCAAACTCGAAAAGAAGAAGAAGTGGAAGTGAGGGTGGAAGTTCATCTAGAAATCCTATTGAGAGGGCATTCAATGTTGGGGCACGAGAAGAATTGAACCACTTGATTGCTAGGATGTTTTATTCAGCAGGATTGCCATTCACTTTAGCAAGGAACCCATATTTTCAAGCAGCCTTCACTTTTGCTGCAGATAATAATATTGGGGGTTATTTGCCACCAGGATATAACTCCTTGCGAACCACTCTTTTGCAGAAAGAGAAGGAAAATATTGATAGGTTGTGTGCACCTATTCGAGCTGGGTGGAAAAACAAGGGTGTTAGTATTGTGAGTGATGGATGGAGTGATTCACAAAGGAGGCCACTTATTAATTTCATGGCAGTATCTGATGTTGAAGCTATGTTTTTGAAATCAGTTGATTGTTCAGGAGAGACTAAGGATAGGCATTTTATTAGGATGTTGTTAAAAGAAGTAATTCAAGAAGTTGGGCATGAAAAAGTGGTTCAAGTAATCACGGATAATGCTGCAAATTGTAAGGGAGCAGGGCATCTTATTGAGCAAGAATTTCCATCTATTACTTGGACACCATGTGTTGTTCACACACTGAATTTAGCTGTGAAAAATATTTGTGCTGCAAAAAATGTGGAGAATAATCAAATAGCATATGAGGAATGTAGTTGGATTTCTGATATTGTTGGAGATGTTTCTGCAATAAAGCACTTCATAATGAATCATTCTATGAGACTGTCAATGTTTAATGAGTTTGTGGGATTGAAGTTGCTTTCTATAGCTGAAACCCGCTTTGCTTCCATGATTGTGATGCTAAAGAGGTTCAAATTGATAAAATGTGGTCTCCAAAATATGGTAATCAGCGAAAAATGGAGTTTGTATAAAGATGATAATCTAGGACGGGCAAGAATGGTTAAAGATAAGATTTTGGATGATCTTTGGTGGGATTCAATTGATTATATACTTGCTTTCACTGCTCCTATTTATAATATGATTAGGATTTGTGACACTGATAAACCTTGTCTTCATTTGATTTATGATATGTGGGATGACATGATTGTAAAAGTGAAGAAAGCTATATACTTTCATGAATTGAAGAGGATGGACGAGACCTCAACTTTTTATGAGGTGGTGCATGGCATTCTTGTGGATCGTTGGACTAAACATTCAACTCCACTTCATTCTTTGGCACATGCTTTGAATCCCAAGTAAGCTTTTAATTATGAATGAATTGAATACTTCTCTTATTTGATATAATTTGTTTAATTGTTTTTCTCTTTTTTCTTTTAGATACTATAGTGAACAATGACTTAATGAAGATCCTAGTCGAGTTCCTCCACACCAGGATTTAGAGATTAATCAAGAAAGACAAAAATGCTTAAAGAGATACTTTCCTAACTTGGAGGACCGAAATAAAATAAATTTGGAGTATGTGGACTTTGCTAGTATGAGTGGAGGTTTTAGAGATTATGATGCCATGCAAAATCGATATTCTATGGAGCCCAAAGCTTGGTGGGTGCTTCATGGTGCTTGTTCACCTATGCTTCAAAAGATAGCATTGCGACTTGTTGCACAACCTTCTTCTTCATCATGTGCTGAACGCAATTGGAGTACTTATTCTTTTGTGCATTCTGTAAGAAGGAATAAGATGACTCCAAAACGTGCTGAAGACTTGGTTTATATACATGGCAACCTTAGGCTCTTATCAAGAAAGACTTCACAATATACACAGGGGGATAATAGAATGTGGGACATTGCTGGAGATACATTTGATACATTTGAAGATGTTGGAATTCTTGAAGTTGCTACTCTTTCACTTGATGAGCCAGAGATGGAGTCAAATGTTATTCTAGATGAAAATGTTCCATGAAGATATTCTATAGTCTCCATGTTTTATGTTTTTGTATGGATATGCTATTATTTTTGCTTTAGATCAATATAATGGTACTGTGGAAATGATTGTTTTTTGGTTAAATTGATGGATATTATTAGTTTAGTTTTATTTTTTTTGTTAAATTATTGAATATTAAATGAAATATACACTATATAAATTAAAAATATTATTTAATATTAAAACGTGTCGGAACGTGTCGAAATTCATATTTTTTTAAGATTGACGTGTCGGAGTGTCGTGTCGTGTCGTGTCACGTGTCGCGTGTCGAGTCGGTGCTACATAGGTTTACACACCTACGGAAAATCAATTATCCTCTGTAATAGGAAAATTGATCTATCACGCTACAAACACAATTTTTGAAATGGATCCCATCACTTAATAAAAAAAGTTCACTTTTTGTAATGTCACGTGACAACAACTTTTTACCTGCACACACAAATTAAATGTGGGATCCACACCTAAAAAAAGAAGTCAGGATCCAAAATCGAATTCTTGTTACAGGAAAAAACAGTGTCATTCCTACAACATGACAAACTGATTTTCTATAAAAGAAAACCAAAAATATTTGGCACAGAAAACGATAAGTGTGTAGGAAACAAATGAAAAATCCTGCAAGGGATACAAGTCCCTCCGACTATTGATTTTGGGGTTCTAATTCTCCCTTTACTAATTTTTTTGCCCTTGTATATAGAGGTGACAAAGTAAGCGGGCTGCCTCGCCTTTTAAGGAGGCTAAAAAACTCAGTCTGCCCCATCCAGTTTGGGTTGGCAGGCAGACAGCCCGTCGGGCCGATGATATTTTACACTGAAAAAAAATTAGCTCGGACCGGCTTGCGAGATTGAAAAACTCAGTCCGATCTGCTCCGTTTGGCGAACGGATCCATTTTTCCACTTCTACTCGTATACATACAACAACCACATTGACCAATTTGCCACTAATTTCAAAAATATATACCAGAATTAGAGAGTTAGAAAACTTGCCAAAATACCATAATGATAAACCTCGATAAGTGGTGAGTTTGAACTGCCATGTGGCATGAAACAATAAGTCACCAAACTCGTTATCACTATTAGTTGGTTTGAGCAAAATCTCGCTATTAATGACAGGGAGTTTAGTGGCCTATTGTTTCATGACACGTAATACAAAATTTTAGAAATTTTACTGTAAAATTTCGGAAAATCATAACTTTTGATTCGAGTATTCGAATCAAGTGATCTTTTTTCATTCACATAACCTTTCGAAGGGGATTTGGTCAAAAGAATTTCCAAAAAAATGCTTCCTTATGCCTCGTTTGGTATATTTTATTTATGTGAATGACATTATTTCATTTCTATTTTTATTTTCACTTTCCAACACTAAGAAATTAATCCTCCATAAATTTTTCAGCATGTAGATATCAAAAAGTTTCGTGAGATAAAAAAAATCACAGGAGCCGAAAGGTATATTCTGAAAATAGTTGATTGGTCTAACCATATATTTGCTGCCATTGACAGTGAATTTCTCTGGTTCTTTCACAAGGCAGTTGAAACCCATTGTTGCCAAAGTTTGTTGCCATGTCATTTTGGCAAAAAAATTTCCTTCCGTGACATACTGATAAATATTTTTTGAAAAAACATAGCACATTAGTCAATGTTCCATCAACCTCCCTCATTTGGGCTGAACACTACGCACACATTTAATAAAATTTATATCTTATATTTTGTAAATATGGTAATTAAAATCATGATTTATCACTACGATTTTATAAAATCAAAATGATTTTACCAATATTTCAAACGCTTTTACTTTTTTTACGATTTTTTATGATTTTTTCATGTGGTTTTATGAAGTTGTATTAATTGTTTTAATAAAATTAATTTTTAATTTTTAAAATTAAAAATTAATTGTTTTAAAATTAACTTTTAAAATAATTAATTGTACGTTTTATGATTTTTTATCTCCTTTCGATTTTACGTAAAATCTCAATTTTAATTACCTTGAACATGAATATACTACAATGTGGGAAAATAGAATAAAGTTCTTTTAAATCAATAATACATTAAATTCAAATTTACACTATCAGCTAATGAAGTCTTAAAAGCGGTTAATATTATTATTAAAACTTTATTTAGTATATAATAACACAATTAAGTTTGGCTCAAAAATTTTACACATCAAAATAAAACTTTTAATTAGTTGCACTTGCCAGAGATTTTATTACATGGTTGCTTTTTCAATTTAAGAATTCGTGGGCGGGCATATGAGCATGATCATCACAACTGTCCTTGATCGTACGGGCTTAAAGTTACATGGGATAGGTCAGCGTTGCATCTGATTCTAACCCACTTTTCCTATTGTGTGCAGAGTGTAGACTCATGGAGATATCTGATTGGTGCACAAATGATGCCAATGATCATGAAAGCCAGCGAGATCGGACGGTGTGGAGTCCAAGTCTGAGTAGAAAACCATGTGGTCGTGTTAACACACGCGCTCCCTCACTGTCGTATTAGTATATATCCCGTATGTAATGCGTTAATCAGTTGTTTTGTTTGTTATATCAGTCATGAATCATGAGTAATGGAGAAATCCATCTCTCACGCGCTTCAAGAAACAAGCAAGGACTTTTTGAGTTTGCTGAGGAAACAGTAGCAAACTTGGGGGCTCCTTTCTTGTCTGCTTGTCTTTTTTTTTTGTTTCTGGCTGGTTTAATTTTGCAGAGATATGGGTGGTAGTGGGGACAATAAGAGTCTGAAGGGTTTTCATTTGCATCGCACTCGTCATAACCACTATGGGTATGGCCATGGGAAGAAGCAAGAGTACAGAGGTGTACCCAAAGGGTGTCTTGCAATCAAGGTGGGTCAACAAGGAGAAGAGCAACAAAGGTTCGTGGTTCCCGTTATGTACTTCAACCACCCTCTCTTCATGCAGCTTCTCAAGGAGGCTGAGGAAGAATACGGTTTTGATCAGAAGGGAACCATAACCATCCCTTGTCATGTCGAGGAGTTCAGGAACATCCGAGGCTTGATTGATAGGGAAAAGTCCCTCCATCACCACCATCATATTGGCTGCTTTGGCTTCTGAGATCGATGGATATATCTTACTCTTACTCATCATTGATGATGAAGAAAATTAAAGAACAAGTTCTTGACCCAGAAATTAAATCTTCTGGTTCTTGTCTTCTTCAAAGCCAGGTACTAATGATTTCTTCATGTAAATTCTTAATTTTTACATTTTAGGTTGTTTTCTTCGTTTTGTTAGTTGAGTGGTGAGGATAAAGATGAGATGATATGATGATGACGACGACACGACAGAATGTTACTTCTTCCAATTGTATGTAGTTACTTTGTTGTTAGGAATCGTAATGATAAAAGAGATGCTTTTTCTTTTCTTTTCCTTTCTTTCTCGATCTGGAAGAATTTGTCGCCATATAATGGCATTGGAATAATAAGAGCCCTACTCTTTCGAAAAGGAACGAATTGGTGGTATGTAGGACAAAACAGTTTCTTTCTTTCAAGTCACTGAATTCACCGTAATCAAATGGTCTCGCTCGTCAGAACAAATACATTGGGGATGGTGTGAAACATGTTACCCCGGGCTCTTTCCCTATTTATTTTTTACACTTTTTATCTCATCTGATTTTTGCATGGTGATTGTTATACAATTCTTCATCCCAAAATATGTGCCTAAAATTTATTCTGTTACTTTGGAAGGGAAATTTGAATTTGATACTAAAATATTGCTCCAAAAGCCTTATCCCATGAACAGTAGCATGTGCCTCCTATGAACAAGGATAAGGACCATAAAGGAAAATGTGGTTTTATATGAGGTAGGCATAGTGTCTGGACCATTTCTGCCTCTGAAATAAGCAAAATAGTTGGATTTAATTACTTTCGGTGGGTGACACACACTCTCTCTCTAATCACGTGACTAGTTATATACAAATGGGATTCATAAAAAATTATAATTTACATTAATATTAAATAATTTTGCTATATATATATATATATATATATATATATATATATATATATATAGAGGTAGAATACTTTGACACCTCATCTGATAGTCATTAGATCAAAAAAAAATTAATAGTGTCACATGCTTACAAATCAAAGTCGTTGATCTTTTTTAATCTAACGGCTATCAGATGAGATGTCAAATTTCAAATTTGATACTGGTGTCAAAGGATTCTACCTCATATATATATATATATATATATATATATATATATATATATATATATATATATATATATAAACACCCTTTTTAGTCCCTGTCAATATCTACGAAGTCCTTTTTTGTCCCTGGCAATAAAAAAGGACCAAATTGGTCCCTAAAATTACAAAAAAGGGCCACGGTAGTCCGTATGTCAACTCCCAAATATGTAGAGTGACTCTTTTCTTGTACTTTCAGGGACCAATTTGGTCCTTTTTTATTGCCAGGGACTGAAAAGGACTTCGTAGATATTGTCAGGGACTAAAAATGGTGTTTACTATATATATATAGAGAGAGAGAGAGTAAACACCGGTGTAAGAGTTAGAAGTCTTACACTCAATCTTGATCATTGATCCACTTGTATCCAATGGCTCACATTACTAGAAAATTTGAGCCCTTATATATAAATTGGATCAACGGATAAGATTGAGAGTGTAACTTACACTGGTGTAAAATGATCCTGACCCATATATATATATATATATATATATATATATCGGGCAAGATCATTTGACACCGGTGTCAAATCTTAAAATTTGACACCAAATACTAACTTTTGATTTTCACCAAACAATGATTATCATTTATTGTGAATTAATGATTAATTAATAAGTTTAATTTCCAATAAATGATAACCGCTGATTGACGGAAATCAACGATTAGGATTTGATGTCAAATTTCAAAGTTTGACTCCGATGTCAAATGATCCTATCTCATATATATATATATATATATATATGGGAAAAACATTTCTCCAGTTACTGTAGATAATAAAAATTAAAAAGTTATAATGATAAAGATTAATATAATCCTGCAATATATTATAATTACAAAAATACCTTGAATTTCACCCCAAAACGACATCATTTTGGACTCACTGGAGATTATCTCTTTTGACTGGAAAAATCATTTACCCTATATATATATATATATATATATATATATATATATATATATATATATATCAGAAAAAATATTTTTGAAGTTAATGCAGATAAGTTATCTGCATTTACTTCTAAAACGACGTCGTTTTGAAATTGAAAAATTAGAAAATTATATTTATAAAGACTATAATAACGCTAAAATAATTTAAAATTATAAAATACCATGATTTTCGCCGCAAAACGACGTCGTATTGGGCTTACTGCAGATAACTTATCTGCAATAATTGCAGAAAAAATGAACCACATATATACATATATATGGGCTTATCGTTTCTCAAACTGCTTGAGATAATGTTATCTACGGCTACAAAATCATAACCGTACAAAGATGGATCAATGGTGATAAATGAAAAGAGAAAAAAAGAATCATAACCATTCAAAGGTGAATCAATTAATATAAAGAAATAAATAAATAAAACAACGTAGTTTTGGATGGCCAGAGATAAACTTATCTCAAGCTGCTTGAGAAATATTTTTCCATATATATATATATATATATATATATATATATATATACTTCGAAATAATTGCATATAAATTAAAGAAGCTATTAAATAATTGTAATTATAAAACATTCAAATACAATTAATTAATAAATAATGAAAATATTAAATACTTTTTATATTTAAGATGTATTGAGAAACGCTAATGGGTCCAACGCTTGAGCTAGCACGGAAACTAAGGTTTTAACAAATTCATGATTCTAGTATTTATACGAGTTGATGAAAATACTCAGGATATTAAATGTGAATTGTTTTATTTAATATTTCCATTGTATATTTCAAGGGTTATAAAAATCACTATATTTAAATGATTCTCGATGATGTTTTGTGGTAATATAAATTTTTTTTAAATTAAAATAGCCTCTATTCAATTATTTAAAATATCAATTTATTCATATTTTTTATTTTATTTAATAATGACACTGATACAAAAAATTAAAATTTAAAAAATCTATAATGTCTTTTTTATATTTTAAAACAATAAATGAAGCGTAAAAAGTTCACTATATCTTAAACTAAATATATTAATTTGCTCCTCACCAAATATATATATATATATATATATATATATATATATATATATATATATATATATATATATTATTTGCTTACCAAAACAAAAACTACATATATTTCAAAACTTATGGAGTATTCAAAAATAGGGTTGCGGCTATTTACACCGCATTGAATAGGGTAGGTGTATATAGAGAGATATACCAATTTAAGTTATACTTTCAATTGATTCGATCTAGTCGTTGATTGTTTTATACGTAACGATTTTAATTTATCGAATATATAAATTGTCAAATATAAATAGATCAATAATTAAAATTAAATGTAAGATTTTGTCTCATATATAAAGAGGTATAATTATTGAAGAAGATTAAGAAATTGAAATTTGATAATCTCTCTTCATGATTGTGCTGCTCTTCAGGATAATATCCCTCAAACTGCTACAAGTCAAAGGTTTGTCAAGTTTACAGGTAGTGCGTTTGAACGAGTGTGAACGAGTTGTAGCAGATGTATTGAAGATTGCAAAGTGCGGTGAAGGTTGCAGTATGTTGCCGTAAACCTGCTACAACTTCATATCTCGAGCATGCGTTGTCGATTTCGCTAATTTAATTTTGGGATGTTGATAATTGCTAATAATTGTTTCAATATTTTCGTTGGACTAGTATACAATGCAATCTTTTAGCATTAATTTTCCAATTATTTCATATCAATTCCGATAGTAAAAATAATTTCTAAATAAAGAGTCGAAGTAATTATGTTAACAATCTTGATGGAGGAAGTGATTTCTCACTTAAAAAACTATTAGGATTGGTCTAGTGATAAAGAGTTTGGATATGTTGTATTAGGTTATGAGATTTCAATTCTCACCAATATATTTAAAAAAAAATACTGAACCAGGTATAATCTTCCGCCATCAAATTTGACTGGAAAATAATCTCTTAATAATGGAAAATATGCTCTATCATTAACCTTAAATGCTCCACCAATAACATAAAACGTTCCATCAATATTAACCTCTTTAAATTGCTACATCATACTTGAAAGAGTTAACATCATCACATGGGTGGCGAAGGACCCACATGACAAATCCCTATCCTAAGTACTCTACCTCATGCGTTTTTAGTGCATGATACATCAATTTTCAACACGATCCGTTAACACATATGAACCCGACACAAAAAATTTGTGTCGTGTCACGTGTCAATCTACGAATCGAAATTGACCGGCATTAATCTTTTTATAGATTTTTTGTGTCTTGTCGTGTTGTGTTATAAACAAGTTTTTCATTTCTTATCGTGTTGTGTCACTCCGCATAATAAGTAATAAAGAAACTTTAAGTTAGGGGGTAAGTGATAAAGAAACTTTAAATAAAAGCGTAAAATATTCAAAATTTTGGAGAGATGAATAAGTGATTCTAAAGGAAACTTACATAGAATTTTTGAAGTTTTTCCAAGCAAAAATAAGTACATAGAGATTGTCAAATTGAGTATTAACATTCATTTATGTTAGGCATTGAAAAAAAAGTGTAAGATACAATTAGATAACACTATAAAACTCTTAAAACAAGATTTGTTTTTAAGTTTTTAATTTTTTTTTATTTAAATGGATTGTACACTATGTAGCACCGATACGACACGCGACACGCGACACGTGACACGACACGACACTCCGACACGTCAATCCTAAAAAACTATGGATTTCGACACGTTGGGACACGTTTTAATATTAAATAATATTTTTAATTTATATAGTGCATATTTCATTTAATATTTAATAATTTAACAAAAAAATGAAACTGAATTAATAATACTCATCAATACGTTATAAAGATGGAAGCTTTAATCAAAAAAATAAGAACTGGGATGAGAGAGATATAATATCAGATAGAGAGATCTAATCATATTAGAGAGAGAGATCAGAGAGAAGAAGATACAACAAGAGCGTGATAGGAATTAATAACAATGATGCTGAGATGATCTCTTATCTACTTAAGGGAAAAAAAGACAAAAAGATAAAATTGATATGATCAGGTGGAAGCTTTATTAATATATTTTAACTTTAAAAAAAATAATTTTTTTTAAAAAAATTAAAAAAATTAAAAATTTAAAAAAAAAATTAAAAAAAATTACGAAAATGCCATTTGACCGTGTCGGACACGGTCAAATTCGCGTGTCGGAATGGTCAACGTGTCGAAAAAAGTCAACCGCGTGTCCGACACCGTGTCGGAGCGTGTCGCCGTGTCGGACCCGACTCTTCCTGTTTTTACAAGTGTTCGTGCTTCCTTGGTTGTACATGCCACCCCACCCATCCCCTTTTTGGTGGATTGCCTTGTTTTGTCACCTCTAAATAGAATATATAGATGGAAAAAAGAGTATATTGGGGGCTAATTAATTTATATATATATATATATAT